TCCACAGAGAAAAAGTAGGGCAACAATTGAAAATGCCTCCTGGATAATAACAAGTAATATAACAATCACTTTGCAGATAATAAAAATCAAGAGGAGCAGAGAGCTCATGGATGAGGAAGATTCAAGAGTAGGCTTAAATTCTATGCTGTTTTGATCTCTCATGAACACTGACGTCTATCCTAATAGGTGAGGACACACAAGAAGAGTATTGTGGTGTCCTAAAGTAACACAAGGGTAAATTGGTGGTTGTTTGTACCGATGAACTTTATTTCGTGGCACAATTTGGATTGATAAGACTGCTATTAGAGAACTTTACATATCTAATTGGACTTCTGGGATGTGGGTTTTTGTCTTTACACAAAATATTCACATTTTGTACAAACTTTATATTTAACTTGACACCTACTTATTTATGTTTTCAATACATGATTATTTTGGTGTTCATGTGATACTATTCACAGAAATTTTTTGATCACTTGCACAAGTTGTAGGAGGCATATGGAGAAGCGCTGCATTATCACTTTGAATTTTTTATTTTTGAGTTGGTGATTCAACTAGGGCAGTGGTCGGCAAGCCGCGGCTCGCGAGCCACATGCGGCTCTTTACACACGCTAATGCGGCTCTTCTGTGTGCCGGGCGCCCGCTCCCCTCCCTCCTCTTGGGCGGCCAGCCCAAAAGTCAGGACCTTTTAATCCGGCCCACGGATGTGGCTGTCAGGATGTGTGTAGGCGGGGCAGCGTGACGATCGTGAGGGGAGCTAGGCTCCTCTCGCGGTCCGCCCTGAAGACCGGAACGGCGCGGGGGAAAACGGCGAGAGGAACGCGCGGAGCAAAGGTAAGTGAATTGACACAGGGGGGACTTGGGGACTTAATATGGGGAATGAATTACTATGGGGGATGAATTACTATAGGGGGGATGAATTACTATGGGGGATGAATTACTATATGGGGGATAAATTACTATATGGGGGATGAATTACTATATGGGGGATGAATTACTATATGGGGGGGGATGAATTACTATGGGGATTAATTACTATATGGGGGATGAATTACTATATGGGGGATGAATTACTATGGGGGATGAATTACTATGGGGGATGAATTACTATGGGGGATGAATTACTATGGGGGATGAATTACTATGGGGGATGAATTACTATATGGGGGATGAATTACTATGGGGGATGAATTACTATATGGGGGATAAATTACTATGGGGGATGAATTACTATATGGGGGATGAATTACTATAGGGCAGCGTTTTTCAACCACTGTGCCGCGGCACACTAGTGTGCCGTGAGATATTGTCTGGTGTGCCGTGGGAAAAATTCCAATTTCATCCGCAACATGTGGCCTCGGCTCACAAATAGACCAATCGTTAGAATCTAATGATTGGTCTATTTGTAAGCCGAAGCGCATGTTACGGACTATAAATAGCTCCGGTGTCACTGTTACACTGACAGGAGAAGACATCGCAGTAGATCGCCGATGCGCAGAAGAGCACCGAAGGATCTGGACTCTGGAGGATTATCGCGGACTCAGCACAGAAGAGCGCTGAGTGATGGATCTGGAGGAGACAGGAGCAGAAGAGCGCTGACTGATGGATCTGGATGGAGTGTGACGGACAGCGGCTATCTGGAGGAGACAAGCGCAGTAAGTACTGAGTGACAGTGAGACAGGAACAGATACTGCAGTGATGGACAAATTTTTGAAAAAGAAAGAACTGGACTCTGAACAAAATTCGGAGCCAGATAAGAGCCCAAGTATGAGTGGGGATCAAAAGAAAGCAAAGATGGTTAGCTCAAGGAAATTCTCTGGCACAAGGCAATATAGCGAAAGCTATATTTCATTTGGATTTACTTTCACCGGAGATGCAAAGAAACCAACTCCACTGTGTGTGGTGAAAAGCTATCTAACAGTGCTATGGTCCCAAGTAAACTTAAACGCCATCTCCAAACGAAACACCCTTCGCTTCAAAACAAGAATGCAGACTTTTTTGTTCACCTGCATGAAAACACGGAGAAACAGGCAACTTTCATGAGAAAAACCACAAAGGTAAATGAAAGAGCTCTTAAAGCTAGCTATCAAGTTGCTGAACTTATAGCCAAGTCAAAAAAGTTGCACACTGTGGCAGAGACATTAATACTTCCCGCCTGCAAAGCTATTGTAGAGGAGATGCTCGGACCTGAAGCAGCTAAGTCAATATAGGCACAGAGGTAAATTTTTTTAACATTTTCTAATGGTGGTGTGCCTCGTGATTTTTTTCATGAAAAAAGTGTGCCTTTGCACAAAAAAGGTTGAAAAACACTGCTATAGGGGATGAATTACTATATGGGGGATGAATTACTATAGGGGATGAATTACTATATGGGGGATGAATTACTATATGGGGGATGAATTACTATGGGGGATGAATTACTATATGGGGGATGAATTACTATATGGGGGATGAATTACTATGGGGGATGAATTACTATATGGGGGATGAATTACTATGGGGGATGAATTACTATATGGGGGATGAATTACTATGGGGGGATGAATTACTATATGGGGGATGAATTACTATGGGGGATGAATTACTATATGGGGATGAATTACTATGGGGGATGAATTACTATATGGGGGATGAATTACTATGGGGGATGAATTACTATATGGGGGATGAATTACTATGGGGGGATGAATTACTATATGGGGGATGAATTACTATGGGGGATGAATTACTATGGGGGGTGAATTACTATATGGGGGATGAATTACTATATGGGGGATGAATTACTATGGGGGATGAATTACTATGGGGGATGAATTACTATATGGGGGATGAATTACTATGGGGGATGAATTACTATAAAAAACTTATTGAAACTAAAAACAGTGTACCATCCTATGTATTTTCAGTTTTAAAAATGTGGCTCTCAAAATAAATTTCAATTGTGGTTTTGGCGAGATTTGGCTCAGTTGAAAAAAAAAGGTTGCCCACCACTGAACTAGGGTGTTAACTCCTCTCCAATAGCGGACTAGAGATTTATTCCAATAGCGCAGAGATACTTTTATTTTACTTAAATAATATGCATTAGAAATGTGGTTTAACAACAGATGTATAAATATTAGTTATTATTTAGTTACCTTGGTTATTTTTCTACCATAAATATTCTTCAAATGAGGCGGTTATGTAAATCTCACTAAACAATTCTTAGAATGAGATTTTTTTTTTCCCCTTGAGAGAATTTGTGGTGACAGAAGGGGTTCTCACAAGGGTTTCCAGGGTTCACCAGTATGCTGGTCTGCAGCCCTCTGAATGATGGGATCTTGATGAAGAGGTTATCAAGGTAGGCCATGACTGAGATGTCCTTGGCTCTGAGTAAATGTGGTCCCAAAACCAGAATCATGGTAAGAAAACTCTCAAAAATATGGCCAGACTGAAGGACAAGAAATTTTTTTTTAAAATGACGCTCCCCAATCACAAATCACAAGCAGCACTGATGTGAAGAGAAGCTAAAGACATAAAGCTAGGCATCTGTGATATCCATGGATTTCAGATTTTCTCTCCTCTACAAAAGGTGTCACCACAGATCTGATTGACTGAATACAACTGAATTTCTGAAACCTAAAAAGTGTTATTAAACCAATATTCACTATATCTGATCTCGCACAGTACATGAAACATGGAAATGCAATTATTTTAGTAAATATAAACTGCTAAATACATTTCCTCATTAGCAGTTAGAGCAGTCTTGTGACTTCTATCAAGCAGAACACTGGTTAAAGCCTGTAGGAGGAGTTTTCATTCTCCCGATTGTGCCATAAGGCCGCAGGACCCCTGGCCCTCTGTCTGGACAGCGCTGCTTGGCCCTGGGCTGATCACATGCACTCTCCCAAGACAAAAAAAAAACTCTAGCAATACACACCAAACTGAGGATGTGCAACTTGCCCCCAAGGCTCTGTTCTATAAGCAGATAGATTTGGGACTGTGGAAGAAAAGGAGGATCAGAGAGGACAGGTTCAAACATCCTTTTTACACAATGCAAAGGATTAACCCCCTAGGTTCCACAGTGAGTATAACAAGCATTCTTTACTGCATATACAGACTGATTTGACTGTTGTGGGCAGGGGTGGCATTTTACATGGGTGGTGGCAAACCCCCATGTAGAAGGGACACCTTGGGTGTGAGCGGGGCAGGACCACCATCGGGGGGGTACAGCCAAGCCGACACACAAGTAGGGGCCAGGGGACCGGCTGCAGAGGAGTGCGGGCGAGGGCCGGAGCCCGCTGTCAGTGTGCACCGGGCTGTGCGGGGTGGGTGAGGCCAGGAGGTGCCAGTGTAGGGCCTGTGGAGGAAGAAGAAGAGGAGGAGATCAGAGTGGAGGAGCCCACCCCTCTTGCACTTTGTTGCAGCCGGATATCCTGGTGGAGATGAGACACAGGCTCAGCTATTGCTCCTAGCACAATCTTGTGGATAACTCCATAAAAAAAAGAGTTTTTTTTAGAATCAGCAACCAATATGACCCAAGATAGGAAAGCAGTGGGTCAAATCGCCAGGGACAACAACCACTGTTGTAAGTGACTTAGGGTAAAAAGGACCTTGTTTCATTCGATTCCTTGGTCAGATTACACCCTGTTCCAAATTACTATGCAAATTCTATTTAAGTGTCACAAAGATTAAATATTTTGTTTTTCAGTTTAACTCATGGATGGCATTGTGTCTCAGGGATCTTTTGATCACTGAAAACAATCTCGCACACCTGTGATAATTAGATTGGCAGGTAAGCCCAATTTAAGGAAAAACTACTAAAAGGAGGGTGTTCCACATTATTAACTACTTGCCAACCGCAGATAGCCAAATGATGGCTACACTGCGGCCAGCCAGTTCTGGGAGGGCGTCATATGACGTCCTCCCAGAATGCACTCTCCTGAGCACCCCCGGCGATCCCCGTGATCGCTGTGTCTTACGGACACAGCTGATCACGTGATGTGGTAAAAGGCCAATCACAGCGCCCTTTTACCACGTGCTTAGCCGTGTCCAACGACACACTGATCACCGGGAAATGCAATTGCCAGTTCTGTCAGAGCGTGAGGAAAGTACTGCCGAGAACCGGCAGTTGTCAGAGCAGGGATCGGCACTGATGATCAGTGCCCTGATGATCAGAGCCCAGCAGCGCCACCCACCAGTTTCCGCCCACCTGTGCCCAGCAGTGCACCCACCTGTGCCCAGCTGTGCAACCACCTGTGCCCACAAGTGACACCCAGCAGTGCCACCTACCCTGTGCCCAGAAGTGTCACCTACCTGTGCCCAACAGTGCCACCCACCTGTGCCCACCAATGCCACCCACCTGTGCCCACCAGTGCCCATCAATGCAGCCCAGCAGTGCTGCCAGTCAGTGCCCAGCAGTTGTGCCAGTCAGTGCCCAGCAGTTGAGCCAGTCAATGCCTAGCAGTGCAGCCAGTCAATGCCTAGCAGTGCCGCCAGTCAGTGCCCAGCAGTGATGCCAATCAGTGCCACCTATCAGTGCTGTCTATCAGTACCCATCATCAGTTCCACCTATCAGTGCCGCCTATCCGTGACACCTCAGTGCTGCCTATCAATGCCACCTATCAGTGCTGCCTATCAGTGCCCATCAGTGCTGCCTCATCAACGCACATCAGTGAAGGAGAAAAATGACCTTGTTGAAAAATGTTCTAACTTTTTTTTTCAAATTGTTTGCACTTTTTTTGTTTATAGCGCAAAAAGTAAAGCGCCCAGCGGCGATTAAACACCACCAAAAGAAAGCTCTATTTGTGAGAAAGAAATTACAAAAATGTTATATGGGTACAATCTTGCATAACAGCGCAATTGTTAATCAAAGTGTGACAGCGCTGAAAGCTGAAAATTGGCCTGGTAAAGAAGGGCGTATAAGTGCCCAGTAGGCAAGTGGTTAAGCAGAGCACCATTTTCAAGCAATATGGGGAAGAAAAAGGATCTCTCTGCTGCCAAAAAGAGTGAAATAGTTCAATGCCTTGGACGAGGTATGAAAACATTAGACATTTCACGAAAACTTAAGCGTGATCATCACACTATTAAGAGATTTGTGGCTGATTCAGAGCACAGATGGGTTCGTGCAGATAAAGGCACATTGAGGAAGATTTCTGCCAGATCCATGCATCGGTTCAAGAGAGCAGCTGCTAAAATACCATTATATAGCAGCAAACAGATATTTGAAGCTGCTGGTGCCTCTGGAGTCCCACGGACATCAAGGTGTAGAGTCATCTAGAGTCTTGTAACTGTGCATAAACCTTCTTATTCGGCCACCACTAACCAATGCTCACAAGCAGAAACGGGCTGCATTGGGCAGAAAAATACATGAAGACTAATTTTCAAACAGTCCTGTTCACTGATGAGGGCCGTGCAACCCTGGATGGTCCAGATGGATGGAGTAGTGGATGGTTGGTGGACGGACACCCTGTTTCCAACAAGGCTGCGACGTCAGCAAGGCGGTGGTGGAGTCATGTTTTGGGCCGGAATCATGGGAACAGAGCTGGTCAGCCCCCTTTAGGGTCCCCGAAGGTGTAAAGATGACCTCTACAAAGTATGTGGAGTTTATGACTGACCACTTCCTTCCCTGGTACAGAAGGAAGAACTATGCTTTCTGTAATAAAATCATCTTCATGCATGACAATGCACCATCTCATGCTGCAAAGAATACCTCTGCATCAATGGCTGGTATAGGAATAAAAGGAGAGAAAGGCATGGTGTGTTCTCCATCCTCCCTGACCTCAATCCTATTGAGAACCTTTGGAACATCCTCAAGCAAAAGATCTATGAGGGTGGGAGGCAGTTTACATCCAAACAGCAGCTCTGGGAGGCTATTCTGACATCTTGCAAACAAATTCAAGCAGAAACTGTCCAAAAACTCACAAGTTCAATGGATGCAAGACTTGTGAAGCTGCTATCAAATAAGGGGTCCTATGTTAAAATGTAACGTGACCTGTTAAAATGTTTAAAAAGTTAAAATGTTGTTAAAAGTTTGATTGAAATAGCTTTTGATTTCAGTAAATATGCTGCAAACACAACAAATGACAATTTTCAGTTCTTTACAACCTATAAAGTGTTTTGAAACTTACTGTGCGTAATAATTTGGAACAGCGCATTGTAAGTTTTTTATGTTTAAAAAAAAATACTGTTATCATTAGGAGGTTTGTTCAATAAAATTTGAATTGTACTCTTAATAGTTGAGAATTATGCTGACTTGATTTACATAAATTATTTAGGTAAATGAGAAAAATATCATTTGCATAATAATTTGGAACAGGGTGTATGCTCAGATGCCTGATGGCTTTCAAAAAACTGATGTTAGTAGACATGCTACTGTCAATAGTGGCTGACTCTTTTAACCAAAGTGCCTCAAGTACCCTCTGCTTGAATTAAGTGAATTAAGTTGTCAATTAATCATAAATATTGTGTCTTTGGCTTTACCCCCCCCCTCCCCCTTTTTTCATTCACATCCCTAAAGACACAGTAACTGCTTATTGTACAAAAGCTAAAGGAAAACATATCTTCCTTCATTACTTGCAAGGTCACACCTCTCGTCTCATGTCTGTCTTTTTGAACACTGCTTAAAAAGAAAAAATTAAAGGAACACTTTGAAAACAAATCAGATCTCAATGGGGAAAAAAATCTCATGCTGGATAACTATACTGATAAAGACTGGGTAATGTGTTAGAAATGTAAGGATGCCCCATCGTATAATGAAAATGAAAATTATCAACCTACAGAGGACTGAATTCAAAGACACCCCAAAAATCAAAGGGAAAAAATGATGTAGCAGGCTAGTCCATTTTGCTGAAATTTCATTGCAGCAACTCAAAATGGTACTCAGTAGTTTGTATAGCCCCCACGTGCTTGTACGCATGCCTGACAACGTCGGCACCTGCACCTAATAAGAATGTCCTGGGGTATTTCCTCCCACAATTGGACCAGGGCATCACTGAGCTCCTGGAGAGTCTGAGGTGCAACCTGGCATCGTAGAATGGACTGAAACATGATATCCCAGAGGTGTTCTATTTGAATTAGGTCAGGCGAGCATGGGGACCATTCAATGGTATCAATTCCTTCATCCTCTAGGAACTGCCTGCATACTCCCACCACATGAGACCAGGCATTGTCGTGCACCAGGAGGAACCCAGGACTTACTGCACCAGTGTATGGTCTGACAATAGGTCCAAGGATTTCATCCCGATACCTAATGGCAGTCAGGGTTCCATTGTGTAGCCTGTAGAGGTCTGTGCGTCCCTCCATGGATATGCCTCCTCAGACCATAACTGACCCACCACCAAAACGGTCATGCTGAACGATGTTACAGGCAGCATACTGTTCTCCATGGCTTCTCCAGATCCTTTCACGTCTGTCACATATGCTCAGGGTGAACCTACTCTCACCTGTGAAAAGCACAGGGTGCCAGTGTCGCACTGCAAATTTTGGTGTTCAATGGCAAATGCCAATCAAACTCTATGGTACTGGGCAGTGAGAACAGGGCCTACTAGAGGACGTTGGGCCCTTGGACCACCCTCATAAAGTCTGTTTCTGATTGTTTGCTCAGAGACATTCCCACCAGTGGCCTGCTGGAGGTCATATTGTAGGGCTCTGGCAGTGCTCATCCTGTTCCGCCTTGCACAAAGGAGAAGATAGCAGTCCTGCTGATGGGTTGAGGATCTTCTACGGCCCTGTCCAGCTCTCCCAGAGTAACTGCCTGTCTCCTGGAATCTCCTCTATGCTCTTGAGGCTGTGCTGGGAGACACAGCAAACCTTCTGGCAATGGCAATGATTGATGTGCCATCCTGGAGGAATTGGACTGCCTGTGCAACCTCTGTAGGGTCCAGGTATTGCCTCATGCTACCAGTAGTGACACTGACCCTAGCCAAATGCAAAACTAGTGAAAAAAAAAGTCAGAAAAGATAAGTAGGCGAAAAAAATGTCAGTGGCCTCCATCTGTAAAACCATTCCTGTTTTGGGAGTCATTTCATTGTTGCCCATCTAGAGCGCCTGTTGTCAATTTCATTAACACCAAACAGCTGAACTGATTAACAACCCCCTTTGCTACTTAACTGAGTAGGTCAATATCCCAGGAGTTTAACTGACTTGATCCTATGCTCTGATTAAAAAGTGTTCCTTTAATTTTTTTTGAGCAGTGTATGTATAACTTTCAATAAAAGAATGCTATAATTTTACCAAATAAAGTCATAAAGTGACAAATCTCAACTGCAAAATACACAGAACATTTTTTTAGGGGAATTTTTAGTTTTTATGCAGCTCAGCAGATGTTCAAAATTGTGAAAATTATGTAACTGCTGAGTGCCAAAAAAATCCAAACAAATTGTGAACAATAAACAAACAGTGAAGCAATAGCTGTACTCAAAAAATACCAATACAAATACTCAAAAAAATGATATCCAGTTGTTGCTGCGCTATTGATAAAAAAATATACTTTAAATGTGCCCCTACAAATAATATTATAAAATCAAAATGCATGAAACACAAACTAACAATGAACAAGTCTTTTGATGACAAAATCCAGATTATGATAAACAGCCATATCCACAATAATCCATGTGTTTAGTAAAATAGAGACTCTAGTGCCCACCACCATAAAAAACACATTGCTCCTTACCGAATAGTTAGAACCTGGATTATAGGTGGTCTAACAATGCATGATGCTGAACATATCTTGCTTGTAACATCTTATATGGAAAAGAGGTCACAGACTTCGGTATCTCTCCACCTCCCTTATTGTGATCTGATGTGTACTCAGTCAAAAAGGATAATATTCCATCATGTGATAACGTTCAAATTATTTTTTAAAATAAATAAAAAAAAAACACGTACAAAACGTCAAAGCCAAATGAGCAGAACGTGGAGGACAGGAACCGAAGTCTGTGACACCTCTTTTCTATCTAGGATGTTACAAACGAGATATGTTCAGCATCATGCTCTGTTAGAGCACCTATACTCTGGGGTCTAACTATTCGCATTTTGATTTAATAATAGTATTGGTAGGAGCACATTTAAAGTATAAGTGACTCACTATTAATCATTATTTTTTATCAATAGATGTTAAAAATTGTTAGTTATTTCAAAAAGATATTCCATGTATCTCTGTCTTAAATTGGATAAAACATAGAAAAGCCCTACCTGAGAACATCGTGTCCGACAAACTCAAATAACCGGCATACACTGTCACCAATTATTGTAGAGCGTAGGTGGCCCACATGCATTTCTTTGGCAATGTTTGGAGAAGAAAAATCAACAACGACCTGGAGCAAAAGAAATTATGTTGCAGTTTGTTGGGAACAAAAATTTCTAAACATCACAAACAGTGAGATTTTTCATACTTACGGTAAAATGTATTTTTCTAAGCATACCTACACCACTAAAAACTATTTATTTTTTGCATCTGACTCCAGGCCCCTCTTTCACCCACACTTGGATGATTTTTTTTTTTTTTTTTTTTTTTCTTCAGGGCTTTCGACTATTTTGTGCTGCAGGGCAGCATTTTCTTGCTTCACTGCTTGATGAGAATGATGTGTGATTGATTCCAAGCATATACAGCTGAGCTGGAAGGCTCTGGCCGGCCTTCAGTTTTTTATGAGAATTAAATTCAGAGATCAAGAGTGACAGAGAAGTGAACAGGGGGAGCCATATAGAAGATACCCTGCACAAAAGGTTTTGATCAGTGAATGATAAGGCAATGATCTTTGGGAAAGGACAGCAGGGACAGGACCGTTAAAGTGGTTGCAAACCTCTGAAATGAAAATTGAACAAAGCACATTCTTCTACTTGCCTCAATTTATAGAACCTAGTTTGTTTTCTGTCTGATCTCTCCTTCCTCTACTATCTGCATGAGTCACTTCTGACAGTCTAACTCAACTCAGATTCTCAGATTACACTCAGCTCCCTGCTATATGCTGTGCTGAGTGTGACATCAGATCCCGACCCCCTGCCTCCAGCAGTTTAAGAACACTGCGTAAAATGTGTACTTTAGCAAGATGTAGAATAGAGAGAGGGCTTCAGATAAACAGGTACAACTTATGCAGAAGGATTTGTTTTATTCCTATTACCTGAGGCTAGTCACTTCAGTAGGTATATGTAAGGGTTAATCACCATTTTAATGGTGCTGTGGACCAAATGCTGTCCCAGGCCCATATGTAAAAAGGCAAAGATTCACCTCACATAGAATTTCCAGGGAAGAGCGCATAGCATGTCCACCAGGAGTCTTTAAAGATCGGAGTAATAGATCGACCTGATCAATTCAAAACTATGAGAATCCTCTATATCTCAACCCTGCAAAACAGATGAGGAAGAAGTTTGGTGTAGATTAGGGTGTTCTGATCCCACACAACCACCAGAACATCTACTGCTTTCACTAGAGGATCCCTGTACCTGGAGACAAAACAGTTCAGCGTGCCATTGATCCTAGAGGTCAGGAGGTCATCATCCAACATTCACCTATGAAACAGATCCTGGAGCACCACCAGATGTAGGGATCATTCCCTTGGGACCCGAAGCTGCCAACTGAAAAGGCCTGCCTGCCAATTGTCCACGTTTGGGATGTGAACAGCAGATATGCAAAAACATGAAGCTGTGCCCAGGACAGGATGCACTCTTCATTTATGTCTATCACAAGACGTCCGGTTCCTCACAGATGGCTGATGTATGCCACTGTCATGGCACTGTGCAGACTAATTCTGCATTGAACAACATTCTAACTGGGCGGTTCAACCCAGGAGTTTCAGAAAGTTAAAACACAAAGAAAGAGGGCGCACCAGCTTAGTGCATTAGCTCTAAAGTCATTTATTCAACAAAGACTTAACTCAGTATTACAAATCAGTTTGTCTACTCCGCTTGTTCTGGGCTTGGGAGGGCATCAATCAAGATCCTAATGGCTTATGCGTTTTGATGGATGCACCCTCTTCCTCAGAGTCAGACCAAAGAGAAATGCATAAGCCATTAAGAATGATGCCCTCCCAAGCGCAGGAGCAAGCAGAGTGGACGAAATGATTGTAATACTTTGATATGTTTTGTCAGTCTGGACGTCTGTGAGTAGATTTATTGACATCTTTGTTGAATAAATGGTTTCAGAGATAATGAAATAGGGTGTTACGCCTTATCGTTCCAATGCTTTGTTGAGTTGGGACACTGCTGGAGGAGGCAGATAACTTTTTTTTTTTAAACAAAGTCATCCTCAAAGAACCACAAGGCTAACAGTTAGGGAAGTACAAACATCTTACATAGTTATTCTGGCTGAAAAAAAGACAAAAAAAATTATAATCCTACACCCACAATTGATCCAGAGGAAGGCAAAACAACCCAGCAAAGCATGATCCAATTTGGTCCAGCAGGGAAAAAATTCCTTCCTGATCCCCCGAGGCAATCGGATATTCCCTGGATCAAGAAAGAATTCAGGCCTTTTTTAAAGAAATCCAGAGCTGGCCAGAAACAACTCTTGAGGGAGTCTATTCCACATTTTCACAGCTCTCACTGTGAAGAAACCTTTCCATGTTTGGAGATTACATTTCTTTTCCTCCAGATGAAAAGAGTGCCCCCTTGTCCTCTGTGTTGACCTCAGGGTGAATAACTCTACACCGAGTTCACGATATGAACCACTGATGTATTTATACATGTTGATCATATCCCCCCCTATAATCTCCTCTTCTCAAGAGAGAAGACATTCAGTTCCTCTAATCTTTCCTCATAGCTGAGCTCCTCCATGCCTCTTATCAGTTTGGTTGCCCTTCTCTGTACTGGAAATTGTTGGGGTGTTAGGTTAGGGTTGGGGGGGTACACCCCTTTCTCCAGTTCCCCAATGTTCTTTTTGTGAATTGGTGCCCAAAACTGAACTGCATATTCCAGATGAGGTCTTACTAATGATTTGTACAGGGGTAATATGATATCGCTCTCTCTGGAGTCTATACCTTATTTAAGGCAAGAGAGGATTTTGCTCGGTTTAGAAAGCGCAGCTTGGCATTGCCATTATTAAGCGTGTGACCTACCCAAACTCCCAGATCCTTCTCCACCATTGATTCACCCAGTTGTACCCCCCCTAGTATGTATGATGCATGCATATTCTTAGCCCCAAAGTCCATAACCTTACATTTATCATCATTAAACCTCATTTGCCACATAGTTGCACAATTAAACAGTGCATTGAGGTCGGCTTGTAAGGACGTTATTCCACTGCACAGCTTGGTGTCATCTGCAAAGACTGAAATGGTATTTATAATCCCAGACCCTATATCGTTTATAAACATATTAAAAAGCAAGGGCAAGGATATACCCTGATGAAGTCACGTGGTAACGTGACGAAACGCATGGGACGTTGTGACGCAACTTCCGGCGTGAACGCCATCTTGGGACTCCAATAAGGATCCATGTAAAGTACACCCATAGCATGTGGTTATGCACTAAGGCTTATGTTTGGATTGTCAAATATGAGTGGGACTTGTATTAATTTAACCATTCAGTAAAATAAACTTATTATACTATGGGAGCATCTTCCTTTCTCTCTTTGGCCGTGTGAGGAGTGACCATTTCCGGGACAACTTTGAGGAGTCTGTTTGCGGTACCTTTGCCCACAAGTGAGGGGGATTGACACTACGTAGGCCCTTACATCTTCAGGAGGGGGTCCAGGTTCCCGATCGGAGTGGTATTTTCCTAAAAGGCATTTTGACCCTGTAGGGTCGCTTCATGGAGGTGAGGGGCCATTTCACATAGTGTGGGACTCCTGTCATCCAGCTCTGTATACACATATACTAAAAGGACTACAGAACACCTCCACCATTTAGGTGGTTTTGAACTCTTTTAAATCTATAATTTTCTGGAGTTAAATTTACTTATAATTTATTTATGAGTTATTTCGGAGGTTTTGAGCCACTTATTGTGTCACGTTTTCACATGTACATTATTTCATATCCCCGTATTTGGGGTCACTTATCACTTCTTTCTTTATAGGCGTGCAGCCTATCATTTTTTCTCACCTAATTGATTTTGTCACAAGTTCACGTGCTTATCCCTGACGTTGGGGGTCACACATCAATTATTTTTTTTTCCTTTTCTATAGGCAGTGTAGCCTATATTCCCCTTATTTTCACCATATAAAGTTTTTTTGGTGTCAGCTAGTCACTATATTCCGCTTTATCCCCAATTGGCACTCATATAATAGTGGATATATTCTCACATCAGTTGTCTAGTTGTGCTATTCAGCACAACATTGGGGGGATTTCATCATTTACTAATTTATATAGTTTATTTATGTTTTTTTTCTTATTTCTGAATGTATCAGCTTGGCACATATTTGTCACTTTTTTCCCCTTGTGTGTACAATTTAGCACAGAAGTGGGGAGATCATTCCCATCATCACCCTTGGGTTTTGTTGGGAATTATTGTCTCATGTTTTCATTTTTTGGTATTTTAGTCACACATAAGCACACTTAGATATTGGTTTTGTATAGATGTAGATTTTATTATATGCTATAATTCTTTCTGGTATGTTGTATATATAAGCGCAGCACCACATCATTTTATTGCTAAGCGGCTGCTAAGGGCAATCAACTCATCCAGGGTGGTGAATATGGTTCTGCCAGCTAGTTCATCCTTAATATGATCCGCTAGACCTGGCCAAAAGTTTGCGGTAAGAGCCTCATTTTTCCATGTCAGTTCTGAAGTTAAGGTGCAAAACTGAACTGCATACTGACCAACAGTCATGTTCCCTTGACAAAGCCGAAGAAGAGCTCCTGCAGTGGATGAAGCCCTGCCAGGCATATCAAAGGTTTTTTCGAAAAGCTTGCTGGAAGGCAGAGAGATGGGTAATAGTATGGTCTTGACAATCCCACAGTGGTGAGGTCCAAGCCAGAGCTTCACCAGAAAGGAGTGATATCATGTATGCCACCTTGGAATAGTCAATTAGGAAATGGTGGGCCACTAGCTAAAAGTAAATTGACTAATGATTGATGAAACCCTGACAAGCTTTAAGATCACCAGAAAAGCGAGTAGGTGGAGGCAGCTGGAGTGTCAAAGGACTATCCTCTACTGGAGGAACAGCAAAAGCCAGAGCAGCAGGAACCGGAACAGAGGGTAAGGAAGTGGACAAAACCTGCAGCTGATTCAAACGGGAGGAAAGTTCCTGCAGACACTGAATAATCCACTCTTCATAGACCTGCTGGACATCAACTCTCTGCGCCAAACACTAAAGTTGTGCCAGAAGAGGCTGCGGTGTCTCTGAGGACCTCATGTCCTGAGCACACTGTCAAGCGTCTGT